ATTTTTTAAAAAATTATATAATACTCCATTTTTTTTGTGGAAAAAAAAAAAAATAATATATATATATATATATATAGTGAAATTTTAACTGATGTATAATTTTTTTCACCTTAACCGAATTTTGAGTTGTGCATTTTACAGTACAATTTAAATAGAAATAAGATATTTCAGTCATTGTAAATATTTTTGATTTCATTGATAAATTTAAAAAAGTACACTAATTTTGATTTGCCTTTTCTAATCGGTGTCAGTCATCTTATAAATAAACTGTTTATGACCTGGAGACCTATTTCCACGGCTTCAACGTACGTAAACTTCTCTATATGATCAGCAGGTTTTATTACGATTCATGGAAGATCATTAAATAGTTAATAAACATGCATAACAATTTGGATTTTAGTAGTTGAACCATTGAATCAAAAGATTCTCGTAATTAATTTTTTTGATTTCTTAAATACTTTAAAGAATTATTTGGTATCGTGTAGAGAAACTGGTTTGGAATTGATTTTCATTTTTGTTTATTGTTTGCTAAATGTGATTTTATTTTTTTGGATGTTGCAGTAATGGCAGTGAACAGAGGAAACAGACTATTATTTAAGTATCGAGAAAGTAAACATTTACATAGTTTTGAATTGAAGGGAAAATTTGGTTTAGCAACTGACAATTTCATGGTGGATGGTAGAATTGTAGAAAAGGCTACATACGGTGAGTTTTATAATCCTTAAGTTCCAGTAAATGGGAGATTTAATTAAAGTTGCTGAAGGCCTTTATTATTAAATGGGAGATTTAATTAAAGTTGCTGAAGGCCTTTATTACTAAATGGAAGATTTAGTTAAAGTTGCTGAAGGCTTTTATTACTAAATATTCTGGTAAATGGGAGATTTAGTTAAAGGTTGCTGAAGGCTTTTATTACTAAATATTCTGGTAAATGGGAGATTTAGTTAAAGTTGCTAAAGGCCTTCGTTACTAAACATTTTGAGCACATTTATTGTTTTTTTATTTAAGAGGAGCTGTACCAGCACTGTTCAATCTAAGTTTTCGTGATATCTTGAAGTACACAAAAATACAGATTAAACAAACAATGATTCTGCATATTTGTTAAAACAGTTAAATGCCATAAACTTTGTTTTCTCCTTCCAAACTTCAACCTATATTCTTCGTATTACACAAACAGTATAAAAGAATGCATTATAATATTGACGATATTTCCTTATAAATTTATTGAGCATAGTTTATTTCATTTTTTAAGTCACTCTGTCAGCTGTTTTATCACTGATGGAAAAGACAACCATTGTGGGAAGATAACACGGGGTTTTTGGAGCTTTTTCTATGTTTATTTATTTGCTGGTGTTAATGATTTAACTTTGATATTAAGAACTTTGTCATGTTGTAGATAATTTTGCTATGTGTATATTCTTATGCTGTCATTTTATTTAAACCTTAATGTCGAGAATTAACTAATTCTTTGATAATAGCGAACAGAAATATAAAGAAGATTCTAGAACAGTTAAATGATAATAAACTGAATGCACCCATTTTGTAGAAGAAATTGTAGGAACGAAAACCATGTACAAATCTCTCTCTGCTCAACTCATTCTGTCCTGTTTTTACTTTTTAAGGCTATTGAAGAAGATTTGTAATAAAATAAGTCTAAAGTTAAAGAGTATTGTAATGTAAAAGTTTTAAAGTAAATATATCTGTTTTTTTGTTTTAAATCATCGAATCGTGTGCAATAACACGAGCTGTAGTAACACTCGTTTTACGGTAAAGGATCACTGACTTATTGATGAACTTGGACAGTACATTGTTGAAAGTTTATTCGTTGCTTATAGATCACATTAACGAGTGGAAGATCAACAAAGTGTTGGCAGCCGTACAAGCTTCTCACCAGGCTCAGATGTTTAAGTAAGTAGATCGTGGATTAGGCTATTAATACGACGATTTCTGTGGGAGCAGAATAGGATTTAAAACTTTAGATTTGTAAGGAAATATTCGTGTTTTACAGTACTCGTACATGCAGGATATCTTGGATGAATAGTTCTGGAACTGTGTAAATAAATAAAATGAAGATTCCTGACACACGGTGAAACGTAGATCTTTATGAATTTGTTAAGCCAACTAGAAAGGCTATACCTACACTCCTGATGATGGTAACTGTATTAAGTAACTCATAAAACTTTGTTTCATTGTGGTTAGGGCACTTGACTCACAATCTAAGAGTCGTGGGTTCAAATCTCATCCCCAAACATGCTTGGTTTTTTCAGCAGTAAGGGCATTATAATGTGATGGTTAATCTCACTTTTTGTTGGTAAAGAGTAGTCCAAGAGTTGATGGTGAGTAGTGTTGACTAGCTGCCATCCCTCTAGTCTATCACTTCAAAATTAGGGATTGTTAGTGCAGATAGCCCTCTAGTAGTATTGAGTGAAATTCAAAAACAAACACAATTGTTTCATTGTGCCAAAAATCATAGTTTTGATTTACCTGCATACTAGTACAATGTGTGTTAAAAAGAAGTTACTCGTTAATTAACTTTTCATCATCATCTGACACAGATATAATTAGTTGTTCATATAAGAGGGAAGAACTGACACAGATATAATTAGTTGTTCATATAAGAGGGAAGAACTGACAGATATAATTAGTTGTACATATAAGAGGGAAGAACTGACAGATATAATTAGTTGTACATATAAGAGGGAAGAACTGACACAGATATAATTAGTTGTACATATAAGAGGGAAGAACTGACACAGATATAATTAGTTGTACATATAAGAGGGAAGAACTGACACA